TTCCCTTTCCAGCCAGCTATGTTTTGAGCCTTGCTGCTACAGCCCATGCTGTGTGTTGTGGGGCAGAAATCATCCAGCTCAGCTTCACCTTCTCCCTGGTGTCTCCAGAGGGTGGGGTGGGACCTGCTGACTAAATGCAGCTTAGGATGGAGCAGAGCATAGGGGAGGAACTGCAATAGCAGGCAGGAAGAAACTCTTGTAGACTTCTTTCCAAGATCATCATTACACGGGCTCAGGCTTAGAATAGAATCTCTTAAGAGATGGACATCTCAGAAGGAAACTGATACTGCTGAAGTTAAGCAAAAGTATTTAATTATGTTTCTGGCTCCTTGAACTTTTCTCCTCCCTGTGGAGGAGAAAACTGGCTCCTTGAACTTTTCTCCTCCCTGTGGGATTCATAGCTAACCATAGTCTGGTAGATACCATTTTATTCTACTGTCTAGCATGTTCACGTCACTTTGTAAAGGTTTTTTCACAAATATAGTTATTACATCCTGCCAAGATGCTGTGATATGGAGACCTATGACTTCATTTTCCACTCTCAGCAATTCAGAGGGGACATTTTTACACTATACAGTATCAAGAAATGTTTACCCATATCAAGGTTTACATATACTAAGTCCAGTCTGTAAGACTTACAGTCATGTTTCTTGTCCAGGGTCCCCAGTGAGATGCTGCTAAGTGATGAGGTGGTGTCATTGCTGGGATCGAGTCTCCTCTTACCCCCTGCTCCTGCACTAAAGAGGGCATCTGAAGAGTTAGGAGGTTCACATCTCTCTCATCTCAGAGTGTTCATGCACAGCGGGGAGTGACTTTAGATGTGTGTATGTCAGCCAACATCAGTCAAGAGAGGCAAGTAATAAAAAATAGAGGAAGAGCCAGCAGAACCCAGGCACAGCTGAGTCTTTTCATCTCACTGACTCCAAAGAGCATAGTGAAGTTGAGCCTGGACAGTGCCACATAAAATAAACTATCCTGCAGAAAATCCAAGCCGAAGCTTCTTAAATAGAAGCTATTTACAGAAGAATGATCAAATCTTCTAAGGTCACAAATGTAACACAAAACCATACGTCTTACTCCCAAACATGCCTATCACAGTATGTAAGTCCTTACCACATTGATTGAACCAAAACCAAAAGCTTGTATTCCTTAACAGGGAAAAGTGGATTAATAAGGTATTAATTGACATAGATGCTTGATTATATTTTTATATTATTTTAGCAGGAGTCCTGTGCTGTCAGTATGTTCTATAGCAGAATGGAGTCTTGTATTATTTTCATAGAATCATTATTCTGTGTATTCATTGTAATGGCAACTGTAAAACAGATTACAAAGTTAAACAGACAATATTCTGCAGAAGAAGAAAATATTTTTGGGTAATTGTATGGATGCTAGTTGTAAGGATGTAATGGGTTCTTCATGTCTGTGACATCCTTAATCTGAGACTGGATGTCACCAGAAGAGACACACTTGGAAGGTCGGGTGCATAGGGTCCATCGTGAAAGGTGTTAGCATGAGATGAACCACCTTTCCGAGGTGCCCGTCCCTTCTCACTGACTGGCAGAAGCACAGGAGCAATGCTAACACTGCCTGAGATTAATCTCTGCCTAGACAGTATTTTATTGTCCCTTCTCTTAAAAGCAATGTAATTGCACATACAATTGAAGTCCGTGTCTCTGGCCAGCGTTGGCTGCTTTAAGAGGTTAATTTCAACTGGCAACGTACTGAGGTTGTGGAGTGCCCTGTATTTGAGAGGGAACAGATCTTTCCTGACCCACATGTTGATCAGTTTGTACCAGCAACATTAAACCAAGCATACCAGCATGGCCTGTCTCGCACACTGTGTCTGAAGATGCTTTGAATGAATACAGGTACTTCCACGATGTTCTTTTCAAAACTATCTTCATTTGCATTGCTACTAATCATATTGGGGTTAGTGTAAACAAGAGGAACCAACAACCTCTTAGCACCATGTTCATAATCTTAAATGCCTCAATTAACTTTGTTCTAAACCCATGTTTAGATTTAGAGAAGAAAATAAGTGGCAAATTAATGTATTGCTCTACTTGTATATTTGAAATGCATCAGCCTGATACGGTACTTAGGGTTTAATGTACATCATCATCATCATTTACCAATTTATGTATATATAACTGCTATAGCACCCAGAGGTTCAGTGTCTCTGGGAGCGCAAGGCAGGGAAGGAGCAACTGCTGTGATGGAGGAGCTGTGAATGAAGGAGTGAAGTTGAGCCTGGGAAAAAAAAGGGGGTGGGGGAGGGAAGGTATTTTAGCTTTTTTGTCTTTGTTCCTCACCATCCAACTCTATTTTAGTTGGCAATAAATTAAATTAATTTTCACCAAGTGAAGTCTGTTTTGCCTGTGATGGTGCTCAGTAAGTGATCTTCCTGTCTTTATCTTCACCCATGAGCTTTTTCATCTTGTTTTCTCCCCCTGTCCTGTTGCGAAGGGAGAATGAGAGAGTGGCTGGGTGGGTGTCTGGCAGCCAGTCATGGTCAACTCACCACAATCTGTTAAAGTTTTGGGCCATCAGGTGACACTTTTGGTGAGAGAGTACAAGGTAGTGCAAGAAAGTTGAGGAGTTTCCTCCATCTTTTCCTCAATTCCCCAAATCTTTCCTCACTGTACTTTCTATTCAATTCATAGAATCATAGAATCATGGAATCATAGAATGGGTTTGGGGTTGGAAGGGACCTTTAAAGATCATCTAGTTCAACCTCCCTGCCATGGGCAGGGACATCCTCCACTAGATCAGGTTGCTCAAAGCCCTGTCCAACCTGGCCTTGAACACTTCCAGGGATGGGGCATCCACAACTTCTCTGGGCAACCTGTGCCGGTGCTTCACCACCCTCGTAGTAAAGAATTTCTTCTTTATATCTAGTGTAAACCTACCCACTTTCAGTTTAAAACCATTACCCTTTGTCGTATCACTACAAGCCCTGGTAAAAACTCTTTGTCCATCTTTCTTATAAGCCCCCTTTAAGTATTGAAAGGCCACAATAGGGTCTCCCCAGAGCCGCCTTCTTCAGGCTGAACAACCCCAGCTCTCTCAGCCTTTCTCCATAGGAGAGGTGTTCCAGCCCTCTAATCATTTTCGTGGCCCTCACTTTTGGTAGCCCAGAGTGTTGCCATTTGCCAACTGAGGGTGAAACATGAGCTGACTGAACTCAGCTCTCTCTGGAGCCCATCGATGCCCCTTCCTAGCTAACCAAACAGATAACAACTGACATGCTTTGCCCAGTGAAGAGCATTTCGAGTTCAGCTTTCAGGTTGGATATGTAAATTCTGGCGTTGTCATTTTTTTGGGGAAAAAAGGTACAACGAGAAATGAACCAAAAAACTCCATAATGCATATATTTAATTTAATAAGTATGCAATTCTTTTTTCTCTGAGAATAAGGACAGAACACAGAAGTAGTTTGAAAGTCTTGCTTTACAATGCTTTGCGAATGAGATCTATAATAACACAATTCTGTGGTGTTGAAGTGAAATTCTTAATACTGTGTTCTGTTTCATGAATTAATTTAATTAGTTATTGTTTGCTGAAGAGCTGGAACTATGCCAGGAGCTTGAATCCAGACTCAACCAACATGTGTGTGTGCCATATAAAGAAACTGGATTAAGCTCAGAGCCAGATGTTGTGAGCAGAGCTGAACTGACTGCGAAGGCTGGGAGGACCTGCTCATAGCGGGTGTTAGAAACACGAGCCCAGACTTGCACCCAGATGCTGTAGACAGAGCAGTGGACTTAATCAACACTTCTAATTAGTGCCCCTGTGAGCCCCTGATTAGAAACCCAGCACAGCTGGGAGCATTGCAGGTGCTTTGAATTCTACCTTCTGGGAACTGTGGAGCATGTTCCAATTTCCAGTGTCCATATTTCTTTATGATGAAGTGTATGAACATAAGAGAGTACAAGAAATATCTCAGAGAGTGAATTCAGGCATGGCATAGACAGAAATTTCCTCTTCATCTTGTTGGAGGTGATAGAGGATAAAATCTGGGCTCCCAAAGCCACAGGTGGGAGGGAGCCAAAAGGAGCTGCACCATATTGGGACTGATGTATAATCCTCTATATTTGAACATACACATATGCAGCTGTTTCAGAAAAGCACAGTTTTTCTTTGCAGGCCGCCATCCATAGTTTTTGCTTTCTTGGCATCTATAGATCTGGCTAAGAAATGTCAAAGGGGATGGGGTGTCAGCACAAGTACGGCAGTGATTTGTACAAGACAAGGAGAGAAACCCATAAACGTCCCCTAATGGAGCTGGAATTTTATTACTTATGGCTTGTCTATACAGTGGTGCTTTAGATGCATCAGTAGCCACCCTTGGTGTAATAAACACATTGTTTATAGGAATATGAAAGTGCTTAGACCCTCGATGTGGGGTCCCATCCTCACCTAGCTATTTATGCCTATTTCCACTTGTAAATCTATGTGGCTAGCAACCACTCTTCCGACCAGGACCGTTTTAACTGTGTAACTTCTCAAGTCAGAGATCTGTGCTACACTAAGAATGTTTGCTGGGAGCAAAGCTGTGATTGAAACAGCATCTAAAGTGTTTGAAAGCATTCTATCCTGGGGATGTACCTGGGAATGCTGTTGATTTTAACTTTAGTTTAGTTAGCATGATTCCTGACATCAGTGTAACGTTGTCTGTCTGTTTTTTTCCTCATAGGTTGGCTGGATTAACTGGCTCTCATTCAGAGGGAACTTGACAGATCTATTTTGCTTTCGTTGAACCTCTCTACTGCACGTCGTAAAGATTTCCTAGGTCCAGAGGCTGCATGAAAGACAACTGAGCAGCACAGAAATGTGACTCTGACAAGAGACTCCAAGCTTTCTGATGAGGAATTTTCTACTGATCAGTTTATAATTTAAATATATAACTGAAGCATGCATAATAGTTAATCTGATAGCGAAAAAAAAGCTTTCTCATTAATTAGGACTGCCAAAAAAGCAGTCACGTGAAGCTTCAAAATGAGTGCTCCGTTAATCCCAAACAAGTCATGTTATGCCCAGCTTCAGGACAACCGCAGCGAAATAAAAAATAATAATGAAAGCATAGTGAGTGTGGGGGATACCAATGCCAACCAAATTGTGACAAAAGTTAGAACCACTGAAGGGGATGTTAAGAAACGTGCTTTGACAGATGAGAGTGGGAATATACACTCTGGAGGATCAGAGAAAGCTACTCATCTGAATACAGAGCAGAATAAACTTCTGACCTTCAGAGACACTCGGAGCTGTCACACCAGTGTACAGGAAAGTAAGCTGTCCTCCACCACAAGCAGGGAAATGGGGAAAGATGGTAGGACCAGCGAAGCTAAGAATATATCAAGGCATATCAGGATTAGCCGAGGACAAAGTCTGTCCAATTTAAAAAGCAGCACAAATGATGCCAACCTGGAGGTTAGTTCCAAAGGCGATGTTGACTTCACCCAGAACTTTTCGAAGGGTAAAATGCCCAGGACTGTAGAGATGGAGAGAATAAAAAGGCTTTCTTTGGGAAGACCAAGTAAATTTTCTCCTCAGTCTGAAACATTTGCAAAAGACTGTGTTGGCCGCGTGTCGTGTAAACGTCTGCTTTCTGCATCATTGGACTCCATTGACAGGTCACACCATTTGATAGGAAATACAGAGAAATCACAAAAAAGGTCCACAGATCATTTTCTTGGGATGGTGTTTCATCCACTTGACAATACCTCAGAGGAAAATATTGTGTTTTATTCCAAACCATCTACCTCAGAGAACAAGAAAATAAGTAAACCAGAAAATGTACCAAATGTTAATGTTGAAAGCACACTGCATACTTCTCATTCTCAATATTCAACTGTTAAGCCCAATGAGATTGCTAGTAAGTCAGAAGCACAATTAGGTCAGGGTGATAAAAGTAAAAAACTGGAGCTTAAGACTGCACCATCTCTACAATCTAAAAGTACGTGTCAACAAAAGATTGAGAGAATTATGCTGGTAGAGTTCCTGGGTTGTCAAGAAGATGAAAATACAGCAATGCAGGAACAGAAAGGCTCTGAGTCTGACGCATCAAAATTTCAAGCATCCCAATTTCAAGACACCTGTAACAAAGTAGAGGGTCCATTGTCAAGCCAGGTGGTAACCTATCCTGATGACAAATTGCTAAGTGATAACATCACCACCAGTGGGGAAGGGAGAGGAAGCAATGACAGTGACAATGGGGCAACTAGCCAGATTGGTGAGGAATATTTTACTGACAAAGAAGTGGAAACAATATTCCCACTCACCTGCGATAGTAAATCCAGTGGCAAAATGACACCTAGAAAAAATGAGAATTTACATGAAGTTGACGCAGGTTGCACTGAAACAGTTGGTGAAGAGATATCTCTTACACATAACATTAATCTACCTGACAGCAAACCCTTGAAAGTTAATGAGAATAAACTGATGCTAGTCAAAGGAAACACCGAGGATGCTGCCGTGCCTGCTTCTGATCTCTCGGATCAGCACGGAGCGCCCGGTGCAGAGACAATGTCAAACCAACAACCTGACAACCACAACAGTGATTCGGAAACCTTGAGCTTTTCAGTTCAAAGTAAAAAGACAGCTAATGCACAGAAACATCCTCCAGAGGAAGCACCAGAGAGCTGTAACGTTTCGGCAAAGGCTGACGCCTTTTTATGTGTCCCAACTCCTGTGCGCCCGGTGGCAACGCTGGATATTAATAGTCATCCCACGCTATCAAACAGTAATTTGAAGGACCTTTATGCACTTCATGTTGACAAACTGTCACCCTCCTCAGTCCTACCTCCCATTGACAGTACGCAGTTGTTAAACATATCCCCTAAAGTGCCTATCAAGACTGCTTGCAGCAGTGCCATCCCAAAACCTATCCTGGTCCACTCCAAGGGCTCCCTCGCAGATAAGGCGGATGTGGACAGTGACTGCAGTGAAAAGCTGGAAGAAAGCATCGAGATGAAACCTGCCATACCCAGGCCCAAACCCGTGAGACCTAAAATCATCACATACATTAGGAGAAACCCTCGTTCGATAGAGCAGCTTGACCCTTCATTTGCGCCAGCGGGGCTGCCCTTCGGTAGCCCTGCGTGTGGCATGCCCATCTCTACGGAGCAGAACGCGTCCAACGGAGGGGAGGCAAAGCCCCCCAGCATCCTGTATGACAAATTTAAACCTGACCTCCAGAAGCCAAGACTCTTCAGTTCTGGTCTGGTGGTGTCAGGAATTAGGCCCCCAGGACATCACTTCGGTCCAATGAGCGAGAAGTTTCTGCAGGAGGTAAGGAGGCAGCTTTGACAGCCTCTTTTGTATGACACGTGGTGATCATTTGCTTACTTGTTGCTGCCAGAAGTTAGTTCTCAAACCTCAGAAAAGAAAGAAATCCTAAATCAAGGCAATGTGCGATCATTAGAAATAAACTTACTTAACCGTTTCTGGCACTGACCCTGTTGCGATGTCTGATCTGTGACTGGAAGTTGTCACTGTGTTCCTCCAGTTTTTCCCAGCAAACCAGTCACCTACTAGTAGTATAAATAGGGATGTTTAGAAAGGAAATGACACGCTGTTTGAATTTATCCATAAATGGATTTTTTTTCTTTTCCCAAAGAATAGCTTTGTGAAATGAATGTAATTTGCCCACAGAGACTTTTCCTCCTTAATGGGAAAGTTGGCAGGTTTTTGCAGATGGTGCACTAAAGGTCTAAACTAATTCCCTTCTGTTTAGCTGTACTGAAACCCAGGGACTATCGGAGCTCTTGTTAGATTATATATATATCATGCAGGAAAAGATTTACTTTTGACTCATTTTAAAGCCATGTGTTATAATTGACCTACATCTTAAGTAAGAAATCTCCTTTCCCTGGAAAGCCTTCCCGAGCAGCCAAAAGGTGATGGAAGTCCCTCTGGCCAATTCTGGCTCCTGATACCTCACTGTGTTTCCATCTTGATAAGTTGGGCAGGAGTCTTGGTTCCCTGAAATCCCTGCTGGGAGGTGAGCACAGTGGAGGAAGGTTGACGTTGCTTGGAAGGTGGAGAAAGGACAGGGAAGAGGGAGCTACATTTGGGTCCTTGTGCCCTTGTGTCCACTGCTTGGGACCTGTGGTAGCTCAACAACCAAACTTTTTATATAAATACTGAAGATCACACGGGTGTATTTCATTTGAACCAGTCTTTTTAAAAAAGAAATATTTTTTTTGCTGTGTGTCTCGTGGTGTTACTGAGGCTATTTTAATGCCTGCCTCATTCTACGTACAGTATTTATCCAAGGAACAGCATTGAAATAACACATTTGGTGACAGTGCTGACAATCAAAAGCCAGCAATTACCCAAATAAAGATATTGTGTGTGAGTGTAGATTGGCCCTTATGGCATGTTTACAGGCAACCTACTGAAGCGATCATGGATTACGTGTTATATATTATATGCTCTATTCATAGAGCACCATCTCATCCCAAACACAGAAAGGACAGTGCTTGCTGCCCTTTCCCCTCTGACTTCAGTTTCCAGCTCTGTCCCTTACATTTTGCATCCAGAGGAGGAATTATTAAAGCCATTGTGAGCTTGTCTATGCCAGCCATTATTAGTATATCTTCACAATCGCATTGTAAGGTGAGGAAAAATTACTAGGTTATTACCGTTTAATGTATGGCTACAGAAATTAAAGCCAAAATAACCCAGACTGTGCAGCTATTTGGCTGTTTATAGGGTCACATGACTCTCTGAAGACCATAGGCGTCTATGGCCCATACAGTTGGGGTTCAGATAATCAGGTAGGACAAGCAGATGCATCTGGGAGCAAAGGACCGATTTCTGTGCGCCATTGAGGATTGTTCTTAACATGAGAAGGCCTCAGGTTGTGGCAAGCCTGTAGCATGATTTACTCTAGACTAGGGTTAGAAGGAGGACACTTACGGGCTGGAGAAGATTCAAAGCATCTTCCCCCACTCCTCCAAGAAATATGACTTTGGGTGGGTATTTCAATGAGGGAAGGTTTGAACCCAAGCAAGCTGCTTCTTTAGAGAAGCTGGATTGCCTGGAGGAGAGGCTGGGAGGGAAAAGTCAATCAAACTGCAGTTTGTGTTATGGGTTTGCATTAGCACAGAAGTCAGGAGCTGACTCCAAGAAATATGACTTTGGGTGGGTATTTCAATGAGGGAAGGTTTGAACCCAAGCAAGCTGCTTCTTTAGAGAAGCTGGATTGCCTGGAGGAGAGGCTGGGAGGGAAAAGTCAATCAAACTGCAGTTTGTGTTATGAGTTTGCATTAGCACAGAAGTCAGGAGCTGATAGACCAGTTATCCTCAGGGTATTCAGCCCCATGCGCCGAAAGACAGGGATGGCGAGTAGGATAAACCCCCCATCATCCAAGGGGAAATGGTTAGCAACCTGCTACACCACTTAAAACACACAAGTCTATGGGGCCGGATGGGATCCACCCGAGAGTGCTGAGGGAGCTGGCGGAGGAGCTTGCCAAGCCACTCTCC